ATATATATATATATATATATATATATATATATATATATATATATATATATATATATATATATATATATATATATATATATATATATATATATATATATATATATATATATATATATATATATATATATATATATATATATATATATAAATATTAACAATAAAACCAAATTATTTACACCAATCAAAGTAACACTGAGCTTCATTATTATTTATGCATTTGGATGAAGCTGAACGGAAATGGGGTTTTCTAGGCAATATTTTCGGAAGTGGTTTGCCATTGCCTGCTTCCTGGGGCTGAGAAAGAGTGATTGGCCCAAGGTCACCCAGCTGGCTTTTGTGCCTAAGGCAGGACTAGAACTCAGGTTTTCCTGTTTTCAGTCCAGCATCTTTATTAGTAGACTAAACTGTCTAAGCTTCGTTAAGGTGGTCCAAAAGGATTCAGAACAGATTTGAATCAACAAGTGATGAGAAGAAGTTCCAGTGAAAAGCGAAAACCCTTTGATCCTGATCCCAACTAAGTGGCCTTCTTTGATAATGAAACATAGCATAAGGTCTCTGTCAAAAATCTTGGTAATAGCAGATTTATACAGAAGAAAGTGTTCCTTTTGATACCCTTCACACAGAAATTAACTTGAAGCTGGTGCAGCTATCTCAGTGGATTGCATGAGAATAACACCCAAACTCTTGCAATATAGATGTGATGTAACAGCCAGGTCTGTAATATGAAGTGCGTATCTCATGTACTTGTAAGAATGACAGGAGTGAATGCATAAATACTAATTTATGTGAAACTGTAGTTAAGAACTAGGCATCAGAAGAATCCAAATTATGATTATGTATTTTCAAGACAATTTCTACCCTATCCAGCACTGCTTGGATTTCAATCCATGAGTCAGAAGCACCTTAGTCTTAATTAAGATTTAATGTCTTTAACTGCTGGTCCCTATTGGCTCCAGGCACCATTCAGAACCTCTACAGTCTCCATATAGTGAGATGGAGATATAGTTGGATGACATCCAAGTTCTGATTATATTAGACTCCAAATCTGTGCTTCATGTAAATATAAAACAGTATTGGAGATGAAATAAGAGCAATGAGGCCAATATCAAGGCCTCTAACACAGTCCCTTAGCATCACTTTCAGGACCTGCCAGTTCAGGAAGGAGCTGAGGCATCATAAATATGTGCTCCCAGATCACATCAGGAGTTGTGTGAAACAGATATTAAATAGGAAAGCAAAAGGGAATTGTAGTTAAGTTCAGACATATCCTCAATTCATACTTAGTTGAAATGTATTCATTTCATAACACCCTACCTGTTATGGTCCTCCTCTACCTGCCCACCCCAATTTATTGTGTACTGGAAGTCCTGTCCTATAGCTCCTTAGGCTCCTTGCCTTCCTGGATAGAAAAATAAGTCGTAGGCTAATTGCCTATGACATAGATAGATCTTCTGTAGGTGGGCCATTTTGTTTATCTTCAGTAGGAAGCTTGCAACACATAGAAATATAAGTACCTCACTAGAACAAATGGAGGTTGATACCATCTAACCTAGCTTGCATATACCAGACTGGTGCTCAGTCTTTAAAATCAGTGCTTCACAGCAAATGTACCTTTCTGAACTGAAATCCATCTTCCATGTGAAAATGTTACATGTAAATGTATGTATCTGCCTGAAATGGGATGTCTAACATCAGAAATGCAATTTCATTTTTTACTTACTTCTCCAGATTCACCTGCCCTTAAAGCACTGAATGATGATTTCATCTCTTTTGCCAAGAAGAAAAACTTTCCAGTATTGAGTTTTGCAGAAACTTTGCCAACACGAGTCGGCAGAATGCTGAGTCTGCATGTAGTGCCAGTGGAATCTGCAGGTCGGACATCCCCAGCATTCCCCTTCTGAAATGAATGGCTTGAGTAAATTATAGGAAGGCCAGATAAGAAATCTTAATGGAAAAAAATAAAAAGTTCAGAGAAATTAATGACTGACTTTCAGTTGAGGAACGATGGATCAACCAAGATCCCAAGAAACTTGCTATGTTTTTTTTCTTTTTTTGCTCATTACCTACATTTTAAGTACTGTGACATTAATTATTTGAACATTTTCACTAGTACAGTTTCGTATTATCAAACAAAATGTAGTTCTCTGGGAACAATCAGGAGTAGGTGGGTTGGATTTGCACTCAATTTTAATGTTCCTGGCTTTTCTATATAATAGGAGTTTCTATACTTTGTTGTATTTTGTATGTTGGCCTAAAAAAAAGGTGCCTCCTAGCAGTTTTTCTTTTAACATATGTATTGTATAAAAAGGGCTTAAAAAGTTAATTATTTGAAACCGGTGCACTTTTTTTCCCAGACAGCTAAAGCATAAATTATGCATGCCATCCTATGTCACAGCTTATGGATTACTGTAGCTAAAACAAATTTTCAGGTGTACTCCAACCTTTGTTTTACACATACACAGTCTAGAATTTGGTTCAAATATCATCTTTTAATTCTTTGTTATTGATTCTGATTCAGAAGTAAGTCAGACAAATAGGCCATCATCATGCCTAGAGACCCCAGAAAGCAAGGGGGAATCCCAAGAATGTAAACACTTGATTTGTGTCTTTTCTGTGATGTTTAATGCTCCTTGCTTTCATTTCTGTTTCAGATTTAGGCATTGGAGAACTCATTCAGGTAGAAGTTAGCCATCTTAACATTTGCAAGCCGAAGAACAAAGAATCTTTCCTCTATCAACACACCTTAAAGTTTATTCAAGATTCTCTAGAAAGGGAGCTGGGAAATCACTGAGTGGCAAAACTGTGCATAGTTGTTCTTTTACTGGAGGAGTAACACCAGCTCTTCCACTGAATCTGGGCCTGGATTGACAGGGCTGCAGTTTTATTGCAGTCAAGGTGAATTTTAACATCTCCTAATGGCAGACCTTGGATGTATATCTGGTGTGGTATATTCTACAAAGCATTTTTGTTCTTCTGAGCTCCTAAAAGGTCTTTTCACTGTTCTGTAAGTGTGTGTGTGTGTGTGTGTCTAACATATATGTAATATGTTCTGTAAACATACAGAATGTGTGTTTTACCTGAAAAGATCTTCCTTCCCTGCTCAGTGTAGAAACAAAGCTGCCATGCCATTAAAGCTTATCCTATACTTTACTCAGCTACTGACACTGGGTGGGTGGGGACACTTGACCCTGTATATACTGTGCATACTGGAAGGAGTAAATACACTAATGCTATAAATCTGTTCTCCCATGCTGATGTATTTATGCATCCACACTGCACGGTATCAGATACTTTAAGGAAATTCTGATGGTATTTTAAATATTGTAGAAAAAATTGTGTAATGGCAACTGAATCTGTACCCTAGCCTATATTTGCAGTTGGCTGCAAACAGAAAACAAGGGTATAAAAGTGCTACTATATATTCTTTGGAAAGCTGTTATAATCCCATAACTATTTACTCCAAAGAACTGGAGCAATTTCTTAATTCCTTGATGACTGATTTTTCTGTGGTCATCTTATACAAAAATGCCTCATGATGTAACAAAGCTTCAAAATTGTTGCTTGACTCTGCATGAAAGGCTGAATTAATATAGGGAACATTCACTGTGATTGAGATGGATCAGAATTATGTCTTTACCACTTAAATTTTTGTAACATTCAGAAGATGAAACCCGATCCCAGTGTAGTCTGAATAGTCTGCCAAACGTATACCACAACATTGAAAATGCGAAGCACTCCAGAAGGGTAGGAATTCTTTCCTTTGGCTAATGCCATCTAAGTATTTTGAATCTTAAGTCATATAATGTATAAACCAATCCTCTGACCAACCCACAGTTGTTCAGTTGCAACATGAAGCCAAACCATGGCTTGGTTTTTCATGTAAATGAAGCAATTCCTCCTGAAGATGGCTTGTCGTGTTTTATGTTCATCTGCTTAACATTCCGGTGGTGAAGCAACTGCCATAATTATTTGTGAGTTGGAAGTCACAACCAATATTTTTTGTCAGCTGTTATAAACCATGGCTTGGAAGTTATAGGGAGCCTTGGTAAACTTTGTCTGTGGTTTGGGATGATAAAGCCACTGTACCTGTAGCAAAGCAGACACCTTTTGTACACAAAGGGGAAATGGTGTATCAGTAGCAATTGGTTGTGTTGCCTTATGTCAAAAACATTTGTATGTAACCATCAGAGCCATCTGAAGTATGTACTCCCATTCCCACCCACCCCAAACACAGTATGCAGTTTATCTCCTGTAATATGTTTTGTGTGATTATGGACTAAGTAGTATTCTGTGTATACTTTTCAGCCAAATCTTGGCTGTTTTTTTTTTGTTTTTTTTTTACTGCTGCAGCTGATTAAAAAGAGGCATGTCATAAACACAAAAAAATAAATACTTGATCATTACCTGATTGCTACCTACAGTTTTAGTATTACACATTTAGAGAAAAGCATTCTTATGGAATAAAAACACTCCATCAAGTTACCTATCACTAGTTGATTCATAAATTGTGTATGAAGTACCCATGATATCAAATCTGTGAATACTGCTGTGTCTAAATTGACATGACTCAATTGCAGCATGAAGCTACTGGTGATGAGTGCATTAACATATGACTATTATTTGGCCCTAAACAAAATAACTGAAATTCAGCTTTTCCTTTCCCCAAATTGTCTGTGACTTTCTATATATTTAAAACAATTTTTTTTATTAAAAAAAATTAGAGATTATATTTTACCTAGTAGAAGAAATGTTTTTAAAAAGCTCAGTTCAGGACAACTTCTATTTATTTATTTTTTATTTTTGGCAACATTTGCCTGGTTTCTATTTTTGCTCATGGTGAGTGGCATAAACTGCAATTGATTGCACAGAGTATGTTACTAGAAAGATTCAAGTTTTAATGAGGCACCTCACTAGGCAGCCAGTTCTACGATATAGTGCCAACAGCCGGATACCACTTCAAGTAGAGTAATAAAAATAACTTTTATTTGCAATTTATAAAGTCACTTAAATTGGCTTGCTTTCTAATGCTTTTATTAGCATGTAAATGACCTGCCAGAAAGCTGTTAAATTATCTATGTTGCAGAGAATATCATCAGTAACAGTATACTAGGCTTCCTTTTAATAGGCGTTCATTTTTTATCTTAAGATGCAGCTATAAATAACCAGTGATGCTTCTGATTTCCTTATTAAAGGGGAGGGTTAGAGCAATCTTCCCTAACCAGCTGTTCTTCACCAAGGGCGACAGCCCTCCTAGATGGGGATCATGGGAGTTACAGGCAACTCATCTAGAGAGTACTAGATTATGGGTGGCTGTGTTATATTAAGGACTCCACAGTGTCTTATATTAAGCAAATGTCCTGCTACCTACCATCCTTTTGTTTATGTTGATACAGTTTTTGAAATCCTGCTGCTTAGAGTAGTGTAATGGTTGGCCTAGATGCAGGGGGATGGAGACCACAATAGCCTGATTTAGCACCCTAACTTTATTTTTTTAAGGTTCATTTTAATAAACGCAATAGCATCATGTTAACTAGTTAAGCTCTGCATATTATACATAACTATACAGAAATAAGCCAAGACTTTTTTCTCATAAAACACATTTTTAATATTATTAACAGAATAAAAATGGTTAGCCCAAAATACATGTTGTAGGGTTTTCCTCCCCCAAGTTAAAAGGAAATCACTGACTTGGCTGCTTCTTCTAAAGCAACATAATTCTCTGTTAAATTACACTAGACTGTAACTTCCTTGCCTGAATTGTAAAACTAGATCATTCTATCTTTTACAGTCATCCATTGTATATAAAAATATTACTAGCCTTTCATTGCACATACTGATTACTTTGTGTTTTTCCCAGTAATCCACTGGATGTTTTATTAGCCTAAGAATTCTTGAGATTTAAATATGAAAGAATGAGAGCTCAGTAGAAGCCTCTCATATATGTACCTGTGACATTTCCTACTTATATCATATTTGGTAGTTTCTTCCTTAGGCAATACTCTTGTTCACATTGATCCAAACAGAACCAGATCTACGCCTATAACAGAAAACAACAATGGTTTGATCCTATCAGGTGATCCATAAACTCTCCTGTTTTCATCCCTTCAGGCTCTAATTCAAAACAGGCTAGATCTATAACCGCATTGCTCAGAGTACATATTTCATTGTCTTTGTACAGGCATAGCTCTAATGAACTGTTTACTATCACAGCTTGAACTTGAATGGCTATCCTGGATACTACCAGCCCCAACTTACCACACCACTTTTAAAACCACCTTGGCACTTCCCTTTACATTACTGAAAACTGCTATTGCCAGATAGAATCTATTATTTTTGCTCTTGCCAGCAGGCCTTATTGAAATGCAAATTCTTTCCTACTTTGCATCCTTGATAACAAGGATAAAAAGAATTTAAGGCTGTGCACTATGGTTCTAAGCATGCAGTTGGCTCAAGAGTGACACAGAGTACCTCTTGATGTATAATGCAGAATTAATTGTACCATCATTTTACAGTAGAGAACTATGGGGCAAGCAACCAACCGTGGCATGGAATTCAGAAATGAGCAAAGTGCAAATACGGAGTAATTGAAGCAGGCCTTGTAACAGTACACATACATATGACAAATATTTGTTACTGAATTTACTATTAAACTTGAGTCAGAAATCACCAAGGAGTGTGGACAGATGAGTGCTGTACCATATATGATTCGCTGAACTTAGTTCCTTCTATAATAGAGTTCAGAAAATAATGTGTTTTTCTAGGAAAAAGGTACAAAAATAGGTTCATAGTTTAAACTGAGGTCAGTGCCTAACCCTGAGATATAGTACCACTGTTGCCATCTTCTCCAAATGTGACCCAGTGGCTGAAATCTTTTGGACAGGAGAGTTTCAAATTTTGTGAAGCATGTGTTGGATTAGCTGGTAATGGCTGAATCATTGACTGGCAAGCAACAAAGTCTACTTCCAGGTCTAATAAATTGGTGTTTTCCATTAGACAATGATTGTCTGAAGCTTGCTGTTGTTGCTTAATCTGCAAGGGAGCAGGAGCCTGTTGGCCACCAATTAATTCTAAATCAGTCTGCCTCAAGAGCTTGGAATCATGGTCTTCTGAGCTAATCACAACTGTCGTAGCAAGAAGAGAAGATTCACTCGGAGAAGATGGGAGTGCATCAGAATCCTGCATTGTGGAACAATATGGTTCTGGAATGTTGTTATTGTTGGAATTGAATGTCAGCCCTTTTAGAAACAGGTTATTGCTGTTCTGGAGTACTTGCAAATGAAAATCCGGAGGAGCAGACTTCTTTCTCCTTGGTGGAACTCTTGGAGCCTGAGTCAAATTCGGAGAAGGAATATGAGAACTTTCCTCTGAAAGAGACAATGCAGGTGGTTGCCTTTCACTGCTGCTGCTCCTCTCAAGAATTTTGCCAGGATGCATTGTCCTTGGCTTAGGGATAGGGACAGTCTTAGGAGAACCAGTAATGGCTCTGGTTTCAAGACAAGATTCTGGTAATGCAAAGAAGTGACCCACAGATTGTTCAAGCTGCTCTTCTGGAGACTGGGGCTGAGAAAAAAATGGACAATTAACTGTTTTTCAACCAACCTCTCATTAGGAACAGCAACATTGCTCTCTTTTTTTCCCCACTGTCTCCTCTTTTGAGAGGAGTGCGTGTGTATGTATTTTTCTGGTAATACAAATGCCAATCAATGCCAGTGCAGTTTGCTGTCCCTATACTGTACATCTGAAGGAACTGTATTTAATAAATGTGGTTTGTAATCATAATAGTCCTCCAATGTAGCACTAACCCTTGCAGGTTTTTACCACTTTTAAGCCAAACGATAGCATGGAGAGGAAATAGCTACAGAAGTCCTACAATATAGGCCACTGTTTAATACAGGTAGTCCCTGGCTTAAGAACGAGTTCCATTCCCAAGGTCTGATCTTAAGTCAAATTTGTACGTAAGCCGGAACAGTAGTGTTGTATAATACTGTATAAGTAGTATTGTGTAATGAACTTGAACCACTGTGTATTTAACTTGAATCATTGTGTATTTAACTCAGCTTTTGCTACAATAGGCTCCATTCCTAACTATGGGTGGTCTGTAACCAGGTGTTCTTAACCCGGGGACTACCTGTATTACAGAGCAGAATACCCAGTCAAAAATCTTCAAAATCTTTTTTTGTGGCAGGTTAATTTATCAAAATTGTTTTATTCCCCCCCAACACACATTCTTTTTCATCATAATTCTGAACACAGCATTTGTATCTTCTTAACAGACATTTAGTTTAATGTTCCTGATATCAAGAGAGAAAACTAAGAGCAAGGGCCACTTGAGGGTTAGAGTTAGCACAACTTCAAAAAGCATTCCAGCAAAGCTTTGTGTTGGAGAACTCTGGTAAAATACACTAATTTACCCGGTTCAAAGCTATACCAATCCACCACAGAACTACAATCTCTCCTTTTCTTTCCTCTTCTCCAAACCCTGGAGTTTTCTTTATGTAGAATTTCTTTATGTATTAATGTTTGTCTCTGTACACTCCACATTGCAAATTACTAATGAAGCTACAGGAGACTTCAGATTTAGATTTAGCCTGATTTGGAATACTTGAATCTGATTTCCTACTTGAATCAGATTCCCCCTGCCTCCCATTAAGGGTTTAGCTAAACAGAATGTACACTTTGCATAAGTCACAGGAAAAACGAAGAGTTTTCGCAGGCCATTCTTTCCTTGTCTCTCAGTTAGGCACCACACATTCCTTACAATTGTTTTAGGAGATGAGTACTACAGAGAAGACTTGAAAGCTCAATCTTTCCCAATGCATCTCAGAGACAAAAAAAATGAAGTCCTTGCGACTTATTTACAAACTCTAAATATGCAACCTATATTAAGGGACGCTTTCTGTGACGGAAGAAAAAGCCCTCCACTGATGCTTACACATTCTGGCTTTCTTCCCATCCTCTGCAATGGTGCAGGCTTTTTTGTAGTTGGGACTTTAGGTGGGGGACGCTGTGGTATGAGGACTGGCGCTGGCTGGAGGTCCTGAAGAGGTGCTGGCTTTGGGCCACTGGGGAAGAATTCAGGTTTAGTCACAGTGTGAGTTCTTACTGGAATGGAAGCCAAGGATTCCTGTGGTGTTACTGAAATACAAAAGAATGCAATCGGCTTCTTCAGTGCATTCAGTATATCCAAAGTAGCACTTATTTTTAACAGCACATATTACCGCTTGCATATAAGCTGCCGGTGCCTGGGCTAAAACTGCACACCAGAGAAAAGGATCTTTACTAGCCTTACTATCTGACAAGCCAAGAAAGGACAAAGAACAATTTGAATTTCAAGACACTTTTTTCCATTTATTTTGTTGGCATACAAAGATCGTTCTCTGCATCAGCCTCCTCCTTCTCAATTCAGAATAGGGAGAATGTTTGGTGAAGTTCTGTATTTTGCTGGAAATATGTTGATGTATCTACTTGTAGGTATAACTTACAAAGTGTTCGCATCTATATTGTGAAATAAAATCAATATGTAAAAATGACAATCAACCCTCACTAAACAGTTTTTAAGTGATGTGTTAGGTGCAGACAAATCTGGAGAAGTTGGGGAGAAAGGCCACAGCTCTATGAGAGAAGACAGGCTTCACATGTGGAAGGTCCTAGTCATTGGTCTGAGTTTTTTTTTTAATTTTATATCACATTTATATAGCTGCCCATCTTACACAAAGCCTGCCATTAACACAATATTGTTCTAATTTAGGATAAGGCAGAGTCCTACTGTCATAGGTTTGATTGTGAGATGGTACCAGACCAAGATAGGAAGAACGTTAGTTTCTGTACAAATGGAATGTATTAACAAAGATTTCTAGCAAAAATAAAGATTGCATTAGAAAAGAACATTTTTGCCTGTACTATGTCTGAAGCTTCACTCTTCTACCTTTTATTTCCTACTTTGTTATCTAATCCTAGGTTTTTATATTCTATAATCTACTTCCCAACTTTCTCTTATAAAGCTTGTGCTCCTGCTTTGCTTTAACTTTTGCTTACCCTGCCTCTTGTTCCTGGATTCACAGATCTATCCCTGTCCTTCTCTATCCCCCTTTGTCCCACAGTCGCTTGCAGGGCTTGCTATAGTCGGCTGAGTTCTGGACTGAGGTTGTCTCTTCTTGGCTATTGTCACTGCTCTGTCAGAGCTCCGGGTCTTCAGGCTTACTTTCTAAAGCTTCTAGTGCCTGGGAATTTTACCAGTGCTGGTGATGAACAGTGACATGGTCATTGCCCACATTTGGGCCACTCTGTCTTGCCAGAACATGGGCGTGTTACTAGCCTTCCACTAGTGCCTGGCCTCCCGCAAGAGCTCAGTCCATGTTCTTCCAGATGCTCTGTTGCAGTTGATGCTCCTCGTTGCAACTTTGCCTCACTCCTGTCAATGGCAAGGCTTGCCCTACGAATCTCCCTGCGCCTTCTCAACTTTTTAAAATCCAATTTAAAGCTTCCCAGAAGGTGGCTGTCTAGCTTTGATTTAAACACATCCAATGAAGGGGAACTTTCTTTGAGGAACTGATTCATTCATTGATTATCAACTGATAAATTGCTCTTATTGTGAGAGTTTTCCTAGTGGAATCTGTAACTTAATTCCATTATTTTGTGTTCTTCACTTTGGAATGAGAGAGAACAGGTTGTAGTTTTCTTCTGTGCAACATGTTTTCAAGTATTTGAAGAGTGCTATCATATTCCTGCTCAGCTGTCTTCCTCAGTTTAAATCATACCCAGCTTCTTCAATCTCTCTCCATAGGTCCTAGTTTTAGTTCTCTGGTCATTCTCATTGACTTTCTTTGATTCTCTACCAATTTCTCTAAATCCTTCTTAAAGTGTAGTGTCCTGAACCAAACACAGTACTTGGCATGGGGTCTGATCAAAGCAAAATAAAGCAGAAACTTTCCCATGGTCCCCAGATCATAGTCCTGTTGATGTTGTAATCTAGTTGCATTTGCCTTTTTTGAGCCACATCACTATTCCCAGATCTTTTTTGCATGTACCAAGCCAGATAGCCCCCATCCTATACTTGTGGATTTGATTTTTGTTTCCTAAGTAAAGAACTTCGCATTTGTCTCTGTTAAATTTTATTCTGTTAATTTCTATTTTCTCCAACCTATCAAGGTGATTTTTAATTTTACTTCTGCCTTCTAGAGCAGGGTTTCCCAAACCTCCTTTGGGGAGGTATAGACAGAGTCCAGGGGAGGTGTGAAGAACCTTTTAGTTACATTGTTACAATAAATCCACCTTACCCAAAGTTTCACTGTATTGTTTTCACTGTTCAT